TATATATATATATATATTTTTACAAATTGAGTGGGAGTATTTTTAAAATTTTAACAAAATATATAAGTACTAATGTAGAAATACATATATATATATATATATATATATATATATGTATTTCTACATTAGTACTTATATATTTTGTTAAAATTTTAAAAATACTCCCACTCAATTTGTAAAAATGCCCCACTTTACCTTCTTACCCTCACTGATTTTTTAAAAATATATTCTCACCCAATATTTGAAAATATCTACTATACAATCTTGCATCCACATATATTTTTTTAAAAAATTCTGGATCCGTTAAAAGTGCCTAAATAAAAACGCAGGTGGAAAATGTGGTGTGGAGGCGGCCAACACATTCTCCAGAATGATTACCATTATTGCAGAAGACAATAGATGGATGTGGGCTTTGCTAAAAATCTGAAACCAAATTTGTTGGTCTCTCTTATCCTTTATGTGAGAAAGGTGGAATGTGCTTTTGGCAAAATTAAAATGGTTGGGATTTTATTTGCACATGGATTTCTCATTTTTTATCACTCTTTTACATTCACATATACTCAAGTGGGAGTTCCTCATCCATGGTTGATACTAGAAACATGCTTTTCTACATCAATTTGGGAGTTTTAATACATGCAACTGTTTTAAAAAAAGGCTCATATGTATGAGTAAGTTTAATAGATAATACGTTTGTCATAAGAGTGCTTTTTTTGAGCTAAGAATCCTCTACTATCCACTAATATTGATTGGTGTATGTATTTATTAGCATTGTGCTACGTTCATAATAAAAATTAAAAATTGACTGTTATTTTCGGAGAGAACCATGATCCCACCATTAGTGAAGAATTAAAAGATAATTTATTTTAAAATAAAATGACAAATATCAAAACGTAGTTTTAGTTGATAATATTATATTTATAAAAATGAAGGAAAAGTACTTAGAGAGTGAGAAAACAAGGACTTGTTATATCATTTTACATATATGTTCCTTTTGTGATATTGTATTTGATTAACCTCATGACAAAAAATTTCCAAATTTCCAAATCATTAGTAATTGATGAATTGATAAAAATAATTCTCCCCAAGAGGGACAAGAATATATAATGAGATATTTTCAAATTTTGAGTGAAAATTTAGTGGGGTCAACTAATTTTAAAAATCCGATGGAGGTATATAACCAAGGGTCCATTGGGGACGAATGCCGCCACTGGGCCCTTGATAGATCCGTCCTGATGAGATTGAATCCCAATTATTTGTGGGAGCTCCATCTTGTGTGTGTGTAATATGGTCACTCCCTCTCTATATCAACAATAAAATTAAGATAAAATTCTCTTACTTTTACCTTGTCATTCAAAGATCTCAAAATTTTTCTTAATTCTATAATTAATAACTCTTGTCCTCTCAACAATGTTACTCCTAATTACTAAAGAACAATAATTCTCCATAATAGGGACAAGAATATATAGGTTTTATTGAATATTTTTAAAACTTTAAATGTTCTAGGTTTTAACTGTTAGCATTTATCTTCTTCCTAATTCTATAATTAATAACTTTTGTCCTCTTAAATTCTTAACAATGTAACTCTTAACTAAAGAACAAACATTTTCTCCATGAAAAATAACTTTTTTCACCCATCTATTTATACAATTTTTTTTTTTTGTCTACATAAGGTCCCGAATCCCTTTATTTCTTTCTTCTTCCAAAATAAAGAGATTATATTATTAAATTAAATATCTTTGGTATAAGATAAAACGTGTTACTGAATATTTTTAAAATTTTAAAATATATAAACATATCTTAAAAATTCAAAATGAACACAATTATTGTGACATTTGGTGTTAGTGTGCAAGAAGTTACACTTTACTTGTAGGTTTTTTACCCACTAGCAATTTATATTTGAATGACCGACCAAAAAATAGTAGTCGTCCGGTGGGAGTGGGTTGAATCAGTTGGGTGAGCTTATTGTCAAATGTGCGATGTGACAATGACCAATAAAAGAGACTGCAGTGGTTAAGGTCAAATTCATCATACCACGTGGGCCCACTATTACCCTTAGTGAATGGCTAAGATTCGTCCTTTTCCATAGTGGGGAAAGTACATATAGATAAACAAAAGCATCCGGAGGAGTGTGTGTGTACAGGACACCCAACTAAGGTCTTCTTCAACCATTCAAGGCTCAGACATACATACCTCGATTAAAATTTAATTTGCTTATGGTAAGAGCATTAATAGTTGAATTTGAATTTGATTTTTGTATCATAACACATTTTTTTTTTTTTTCATTGTTTAAGAAATACACTAACATATTTTGAAATTAGTAAAATTTAATTCAAACTTAAAATTAAAAAATATATATAATTATTAATATATTTTTTTTTGAAGGTGTAAACAAATACACACCCATGCTTATGTGGAGGTTCGGGTTTGTACCAGCTGGATATTACCCATTTAGTAAAAGAATTAATTGTTGCGAATTCCCTTGTTTTTGTTTTTCCATGACTTTTCATTATTGTTTCTTTTTTTAATTTTTCAGGGAAAATTGACTTGCATGAGATTGACCCATCATCAAAGCGTTAGTTGGGCCAACCAATTTTGGTCTATCACTTTCATGCCTGGTTGGGTTCAGCTTGGCCCATGACCCAACCATCGCTACCAACGTTCAAAATCGTTGTGTTTTAGAAGTTATTAACACAAGGTAACAAAACGGAAAAAATTACCATTTGATTAGGAAGAAGAAAAAGAAAGACTGTTTAAAATAAAAGGTAAAATGGCAGATAAAAAACAAAATTAACATATGACGAAATAATAAGAAAGTATATTCATGTGATCCAAACAATAAATAAATGAAATCAAGTCAATAATGATTTAACTAAAAAAAAAAAAAGTCAAGAATGACAGTAAATTGTTTGAGCAAACCTAAAAGTACGTCCATATAGTCTGTGGATCCCATAAATGATATAAAAACTGTGAATGCAGCCTTTTTCTGGAAGGTGGCTGTAATGTATAGTTATAAAGATTTACATAAATTATTCATATATAAATTATTCCTGAATTCCGTTTTTTTTTTTTTTAATTGTATATAAATATTATAATTCTTGACATTTATATAATAGTAGAAAAAAAAATTACAAAAATGTGGAAGTTCCATTATTTATGGACTAAAAGGTTATTGCAATAGTACAATAATGATGTTTGTGATATTGTGGTTCGAATTTGGTGTTGGGTTGCGTTACAACTATTATACAATTCTGAAACTAAAAATTGTAGAGGGAGAGAGTAAGAGATTGAAACTTGTAATTTGAATTTTACACATAGTAAAAATTTTCACCAAACCTTCAACAAACTTTGCCGAATCACGTATAAATTTTTATATTTTTTGTGCGGTGTGTTTATTTTTTATCTTGTTTCGTAATTATTGTTTGATTCGTTACGTTACCGTAACAATATTTAATTTGAAACAAGTCAAACTCCAATTCAATGAGCATTGTTGGAATTAATAGTTATAGAGAATTTAATTTATGAACTTGATCAATCGGATAATTGGCTCGAATAAACTCAACCATAGACTCAAGTGCATCATAAAAATTTAAAATAAATTCACTCCTATAAGTGGACTTATGAGCTGCGAGTTCTCTACTATAGTGTATCTATGCGTTTAACTAAATTAAATTATGTTTCAACACGTCATTTTAAATTAAAAATAATATGTTAAATTGAAAATAATATGTTAAATTAAAAATAATGGTTTTAAGTACACATGTACGATGAGGAATACTGACTCGAGCTCTCTTAGATCAGCCATATTCTACTTTTTCTGATACTAGCTATTTTTATTTCTAACTGTTGATTTTATTTTACTTTATTTTTTGAAAGTTCAAATAAACATATACATATGCCACACAATATATTTTTACCCCACGGACTCCACTCCGAACCTCTTCAAAGTGGCAAATAACTTAAGAGTCTGTTTGAACTTGACTCGTTTTTGTATGGGCTCACCTCATATGCTCAAATAGCTGAGCTACAACTTGGATTGACATTAAATTAAGAAGTACGGACTTGGCTTGTTTAATAAAAAAATTCATTTAGACTTGATTTGAAGTTGTATTCAAGATCATTTTAGTTTGCTCATAAATGTCAACAAGACTATACAAATTTATGTTTATGAACATATTTCAATATTGTTTAGGATTGATTTGTTTATTACACGAGTTCGATCTCTCCTTGTTTACTTAATAAACAAGCCTTAAACAAGTAGAGTTGGAACTGTTCGTAAAGAGTTATGTTGATTTGCAGCCCTAAACCTCTTACAGTAGCCGGAGAGCTTAGGGCTTGTTTGACTAATGCTTTTCTTTCGTATTTTTTGTTATTGCTAGTGTATTGTAGCAAAACAAAAGCACGTAGTATATTTGATAACGTTTGCTATCATTTGAATAATACCGAAACGCTTTCAAAACTGAGGCCAAAATCAGAAATATCAAAATGATACTTTTATTTGATTTCGCACTATAACAAAGCATTGTTCAATAAGAAAATTATTTTTTATTTTTTCTAAATTAATATTTTTAATTAGCCATTCAAATTTTTAAATTTGCAACCTTTTTTATCAAATATGTTGTCATATTTTTATTTTAAAAAATCTTATAATAAATTTACATTACCAATCAAGTTTTAAAATAATATTAAACACACTCTGAAACAAAAATAATAGTTCTCTTTAGGTTAAAGCATCTCCCAAACGGACCTCAATTAGAAACTTTTCAACTGTTGAGTTTCCAAAAGAGAAGTCTGTAAATATGTGCGCTTTAGAGGGTTTAATTATTAGATTCCTAAATTGTCTCAAACATTCGCAAAAAGTCGTAATTTCTCTGTATGAAAAAAAAAAAAAAAAAAAAAAAAAAAAAAAAAAAAATCTAACGTGACGCACTTTTTCCCATCTACTATATACTCCCTCTTTCTCCGTCTCTCTCTTTCCCTTTCAGTCTCTCTCTCTCTCTCTCTCTAGTCTCTCGGTCTATAATGGTATAAAAGGACATCCAGAAATAATGGCAGTTGGGTTAATTGATGAGAGAGAAAGTAAAAGCAGAGGCACAAACAGACCCATTCGGTAGTATTCTCAGTACCTTCCATTTCCATCACTCCAAACCCATTGCAGAAGCCAAGTTTTTTTCCATTCTCACTCCCTTCACACACACATATATATGTATGTGGAAGTCTTCTTTGAAGAGAATAATATTATTGTGTAATGTGTAGCTTGAATGAGCTACGAATATGCTCGATTGCTGACTTGAATCTGTCAATTTTGTGTGGAGATCTGGTTTACTCAAAGGTTTTTCTGCTGAATTAGTTTTTCGTGCCTTTGAAGTCCAAAATTAGGGTATTTCGGTGGTTATTGCTTCGATTGTCTGTGAGTGATCAGTGAAGCTGAAATCTGAAGAGTTCGTCATGTTTTTAGGAATTAGAAGCTCATGACCTTCGGGTAGATGAGAATCGGGAGGTTTCTAGAGTTGAAGCAAGCAATAAGGGTTTGTGTGAGGGTTTTTTTTTGGGGTCTTGACTCTTGAGCTGGAAATGTGCAGGTTAATTAGTTGAAAATTTGTCAACATGAAGTTCTTTATTACAGATTGGTGTATTTGGGTTTGGACGAAGAAGATCAAGAACGGATGAAGCTGAAACCCATCGTGGTTTGGTTGAAGATAATGGAATCATTGTTTCTTAGCACCAAATCTGGTTGGTAGGAGGTGGTAATTTTGCATAGTACATTCAGATTTGGGTGGATTTTGGGAGGGCACAGTTAATGTATGATGGTGTTTTTAAGTGGGAAGGAAGTGGATGAAGCGGTTGTTCAGCTCTGTGGGTGTCTTCTTTTGGGCTACCTAGTACTGAATTGTTGGTGATACTACTAGTTTCGGGTTTGGTTTTGTGACTCCAAATTTGGGGTTATAATTTTTTTGTTAACTCTGCAATTATGAGGCGCTTTTCTAATGGTTTGTCGCCTGAAGGTACGCTTTTTGTTTGCTTGTATATTTGGTGTGTTTCTGGTTTGGTTCATTTACTCGGTTGAACTTGTTTTTTCCTTTCTGTAGTTAAAATAGAGTATGACTTCTTGTTGGGGTGACTTCACTTCATGAGTCAGGTCGCATGGATGTCATTGTTTGCACTTTAGTTTCCTGGGTCTGTCTTTTTCATTTATTTTCTGGGATTAGAGTAAATCTGTAGCACTTAATTCAGTTGCAAGAGATAATTGCTTTAGCTTCTTGCTCTAAACTAAATTCTTGGAGTGAATTCACACTATGTTTTTGGGATCTGAGACATCATTAGCAGCACTGTATTTCTTGGGTTTCTGTCTTCTTTTTTTCTGGTTCTGGTTTTGGTATGTCATCTTCCCTTCATTCATTCAGGTTCAGAACATTTAAATTTCAGCATACAAATGAAATTGCTGCAGCATTTGCATCCTCATATAATAATATGATTACCGTAGGCATATAATTCTGGGAGAATCCTCATAGAGTAGTTAAGTAGGCTGTTCAGCTTGGCTCAAGCTGATGACCCTGAGCAATTGGGACGCATGTTTCCTATCTCCGGAAATCCTTTTCATTATTGAAATTCCTTGAGATGGAAGTTTGTGCAGACTTGGAATTGTCTAATTGGTGTTTCTGTAATAAGACATTGAAACCCAAATTGTTGTTCTTTTCTTGAAATTGATAATGCTATGGATTTAAATTTTCAGGGGAGAATATATGTCTAAATTCCGAACTTTGGCATGCATGTGCGGGTCCTCTCGTTTCCCTACCTGTTGCTGGAAGCCGTGTAGTATATCTCCCTCAGGGTCATAGTGAGCAGGTCAGTTCATGTGGATTGGTGGTTATATTTTGAAATTGATCCATGCAATGTAGGCAATTTGTTTATTTGTATTTTCTCAGCAAAGAGCATATACTTACTCTAATTTCTGGGTTAAAGAAAATGTTGTATCGTGGTGGATCTATATATGCATTCTTCTTTCTATTATTAAAATGAAATCTGTAATAAATTCTATAGTATTTAAGAGTAGTACCCTTCAACTGTAACAAAGGGCTTCAAAAGTTCTCTGCTAAGTTGCTAGTCCTGATCTATTTTCCTTCATGTACCTGTGTTGACGTGATACAATATGGGTATAGGTACAGGATATATGTCCTGCACATGAACCCAGATTGGACACCCTGACCCTTCACTTAGCATGATTGAAGAAGAAGAAAAAATCAAATTTCATAGCAAAGATAAGTTTTCTAGAAGGTTAAGCAAACACACACACCCATGCCTTCACTGAGGCTCAAACTCCTGACCTCCCCTTTTGAGAGGAGGGCTTGTACCAACTTGGCTATTGCAAGGGCCTTGTAGCCTAGTGATACTTCTTCACCTTCCAAAGTAGAAGTTGAGGGTTAAAGTCCCCATAGGGGCAAAAAGTGGGTGTGTGAGTTTGTTTTTTGCCAATGAAAAAATGATAAGTTTCTATCTACGAGATAGATGGAAACCCTTTTCTTGTACCACATCCCAGTTTGAATAATAGTTAAGTATATTCTTATAAAATAATATCATTAAACACTACATTATAGTGAAACATATAATGTATTTTCATGTGTAGTACGTGTCTACATACCTATATCTAACATTTGAACACATCCCGTTATCCCAAGATTTGGACACACACACGCACCCGGTGCACTCACCCGAGCCAGGTAACATAGTCCCTGAGTATAAATATCCACGTCTTCAGCTAAATGATATGACAACTGCATATATATATATATATATGAAAATCTTCAGCTTTTTTGTGTTTATGTATTTATTTTTCAGCAAGTGTTTTTGATATATTTATTTTGACCCTACTTGTCTCCACTCGTGATAATATATGGTGATTTCTTGAAAAGATACAAGATGTTATTAGTTTTCATTTTCTATTCTTAAAAACCGAATCTGTAAGGACTTTAGCAATTTTATGTGCTAATTGTACGCATATGTATATATGATTTCAACACGACTATTTAAAATGATATCAGGTATAGGGGACCTGTTCTAGACACACTGGTCACATATAGAAGCATGTGATATCTTATAATCTGTAAGAACACAAGATGCATACCTTCTACTCCCTTCTCTTGCCATATCATTATCAACTAGAAAATAAAATAAAAAAAATATTTGCCAGGCTTAGCGGAGAGACTGCAATTACTATATTCATCTGTCTTTTGTTTTGATCTGGTCTAAACCAACTTGAACTACAAACCTTTAGGGTAAATATTACCCATTGAATTTTGATTCAAATCATGTAAGTTATTGCAGGCATGCAGTGGGAATGTGATGGAAATGTGTTTTTTTATTCAATCAGTTTTTCTTTTTAATTTTTCCACCAAAACCCATGGTTCCATATTGTTAATATATAGGAACTTTTGTAAACAATTTAGACCAGGTTTTACACAATATATGAGTTTCAAATGTGGCTTTTTAATCAAAACTAAGATTTAGGTTATTTTAACTATAAAACTTTTAATTTTCACCATGTTTTACAAATTAACTAATCATACATCAAAGGAAATTCTTTTCGGAAGAGAACCCCTCAACTAAAAATTCTTATTTTTAATATTGTTCTTACAGTTTCTAGGATAAAATGGTATTTTTATGCAACATAAAGTGTTCTACTTTGACAACTCATTTTGAAGCAAAAATGCAACAAATTGAACATATTGAAATGATTATTAGGTGCATGTACAACCAAAAGTGTCGAGCACATATTTCATACCCATGTCTAAGTCATATATCTGACACGGGTACTTTACGCATTTAGAGGAATCCATGTAACACAGTTCTCAAATGAAATAGGAAAATCTTATACTATTCCCTACTCAATTAAGTGTATTTAACATGCACTGAGCTCAAAGCTTATCTGGTCTCTCCACCAATCAAACATTCCCGTCAATCTGGTTTTATGCAAGCAATTAATATCTTGCTTACATAGCAAAAAATTATTAAAGAATCAATATGGTTTTATTTTAACACTTAATTTTGAGTGCCATATGTTATGCACATTGAAATACAAATTTTAGTAATATGACATCCAACAATTTTATGCATTCTATATAGGTTGTTGCATCGACGAACGAGGAAGTTGATGCCCATATCCCTAACTACCCAAGCTTACCTCCACAACTCATATGTCAGCTTCACAATGTGACCATGCATGTAAGGAATCATTGGTTTCATTTCTTGGTTCTGAATACTTTTACAAGCTGATCTCTGGAGACTCAATTTTTTTTTTTTTTTTGTTCATACAGGCAGATGTGGAGACAGATGAGGTATATGCTCAAATGACCTTGCAACCACTGAGCCAGGTATGCTTGTTAGTCTAAATTAAGTTCTATTTTCGAGTCTTCTTGTCTTCTTTTTTCCCCCTAAATAAACATTTTTTTTAGCAAGAGCAAAAGGATGCCTTCCTTCTAGCAGATTTGGGTGCCCCCAGTAAACAGCCTACAAATTATTTCTGCAAAACATTGACAGCCAGTGACACAAGTACTCATGGAGGGTTTTCAGTTCCTCGCCGGGCAGCTGAAAAAGTGTTTCCTCCACTGGTAAATCTTTTTAGCTGCTCTAGAATTAAACTGTCCAGTTTTATGATTTCCATACACTTGAATCCCTTGTATGTCTGAGATAATACTCTTATCCAACAGGACTTCTCCCAGCAGCCTCCAGCTCAAGAGCTAATTGCACGGGATCTGCATGATAATGAATGGAAATTTAGACATGTATTTCGTGGTGAGTTTTCTAATGAGAACTTATTACCAAAAATAAAAAAATAAATAGAAAGAAAGAAAAGAAAGAGCAGATATGGCATGTCAAATACCTTCTTTGTTATCACTGATATGATCGGCCATTTTGTCCCATCCCCACCTCCTTATGCCTGCATGCATTTACAATCACTCTTTCTTGCTTGGCATTGTCTTCTTGTTACCAACTTTTCTCCCTTGAGTTGTTGGAAATGAAACTCGGAGTGCAGTTGTTATAATTGTACCTTCCAGTTACCGGAGGTTTAAGTTTGAACTAGAAATTCAAACGATTTGCTTGAAGAGTTTGAAAATCTGGTTCTTGAAAGGGAGAATGAATTGCTATGAAGTTGTATTCCTAATTGGGGTGATGTTCTTTTGATTTTTCTTTTTTGCTTTTCTTTTTTTCCTAAATATTGAGTAAAGGAAAATTTCACCTTATATTGAAGTTCAGTCTTCACGCTTATGATCATCACACTCATTGCAACTGTCCCACAATGCATAAAAATGATATAGCTTACATTTAAAATGCACTGTCTAATATCATGTTATTCGTTAGTATGTTATAACTTACATTTACAATGCACAATCTACAGGGTGTCAGCTATATATTTGTTAACTTGATCATGTTTCATTTGGTTACATCATTAATGCTACCTACTTCACAAAGGAACAGAAAAATTAAATTTAATCATTTGTCATTTGTATTTTCTATTCATTATTTCAATTTAGAAGTTTGATTCTTTATTGTATACTGTCTGGAACAGAAAAATTAAAGCATGATTTGTAAGGATCGAGGTTCTAAATAAAAAATTTGAGTCTTCAGGTTTTATTTAAATTCCAGTTGGGTGCCAAATTAAGTCTTCAGGTTTTATTCATGCCATCTTTTGAGAGTGATTTCGGAAACCTGTTTCTAGAATTGACCGAGTATTGGCACCAACTTTCTGAAAAATGACTACTTGAAACCTGTTGTGAGTTCTTAGTAATTGCTGGTTCTACTTTTATGGCAGGCCAGCCGAAGAGGCATCTTCTTACAACAGGATGGAGTGTGTTCGTAAGTGCAAAAAGACTTGTTGCGGGTGATTCAGTCCTTTTCATATGGTAGGTAATGCTGTTTTTCTGTTTTGGCCTTCTCTCCAATGTCCCTTCCTAAAGTTGCGAAGGAATAGAACCATGATTGAGACTATCTCCCATCTGTTTTGTGCAAATGTGGACTTTTGGGTTCACTATAAATCTTCAAAACTGATTTCTTTGACTGATTCTAACTTGGAGACAAAAGGGAAAAAAAGAAAAAAAAAATTTAATAGAGTTTGAGATGTATTTCCTTTGTTGACCTTCGAAGTAACAAATTTTTTTCCTCCCCCTTTATGATAAATCTTCTTTTTTCTTTTCCATATTGTTTCCGATACTTGATAGACAAACCAGTTATGTAGCCAATATTGTTTCTCTTTTTCTTTTTTCTTTTTTCTTTTTTTTTTTTTTTTTAGGAATGAGAAGAATCAATTGCTCATTGGTATCCGGCATGCTAATCGGCCACAAACTATGATGCCTTCTTCGGTTATATCAAGTGACAGTATGCACTTGGGGCTTTTTGCTTCAGCAGCTCATGCGGCCAAAACTAATAGTCCCTTCACCATTTTTTATAATCCAAGGTGTGTTTCGTTGCAAGTAGGCAAATTATATATTTTGAAGCCTTTCATGATTTGTAATTTTCAATCTCTTAAATTCAGGGCTAGCCCATCAGAATTTGTCATACCTCTGGCCAAATATGTTAAAGCAGTCTATCATACTCGAGTTTCTGTTGGCATGCGTTTTCGATTGCTGTTTGAAACTGAAGAATCCAGCGTTCGTCGGTAGGTTTCAAATATATTTAAATTACTATTATGGTTGCTATTATTCTCGCTTTTTTGTGTTTTGTTTCTTATATTTTGAGGATCAGGATTGGAAAATAAACTTTAAAGAGTTGCATCTGGGATATCTCTAGGTGCAAATATTACCAAAGAGATCCCTTGGAACCATTTGATTTCTGGTATTAGTCTTTACGAGGAACAATGGAGTGTTGGATATGACGTAGCTACTCTTCTTTTATTCAATAGGTTTCTGTTGGTAAAATTGTAGCTAGATTTAGTACCAAGAACGTTGTTTGGGTTTTAGTCATTATCACCTTCATGTTTCTGTATCCAAGCTGCTTTTCTTTTTTCTTGTTAGCATCAATTCCTTCTTTTAAAACTAAAAGTTGTGGATGTTTAAAGTTGTAACAACTATGTTCGTTCAGCTGCATGGGCACTATAACTGGCATAGGTGACTTGGATCCTGTTCGATGGCCAAACTCACATTGGCGCTCATTGAAGGTTTGTTCATCACTGCTTTATGATGATTTGTAGTTCATTCTTTTATCGATTTTCAGCAAGACACGGTTGATAAATAACTGTGTTGCTACTTCAATTTCATACCAATATGACGGTTAGAATGAATAAAGTATGATAAACTGTGACGTGACTAATGCAGGTTGGCTGGGATGAATCTACAGCTGGGGAAAGGCAGCCGAGAGTGTCCTTATGGGAGATTGAACCACTAACAACGTTCCCTTTGTATCCATCCCCATTCAGCCTCAGAGTTAAGCGACCATGGCCACCTGGATTGCCCTCTTTCAGTGGTATGCTTACCTTAAAGATGGAAAATGCAGTATATCTCATAATTCTATTACATCCTATCGTAGTCTCATTTTTGCTGTTTATAAAAGATATAATCTTTGCTTCCTTTTTTTTTTTTTTTTTTTCACATCCTGTCTCATTTATTTCAATGAAACATCAAGTATTAAATTTCGAAAAGCAAATTTTATATTTTGATCTGTAACTTTTGTTGCCCCAAGGAATCAAGGATCAAGATCTGGGAATGAATAATCCACTCATGTGGCTTCGTGGAGATAATGGGGACTGTGGGATCCAATCTCTCAACTTTCAGGGAATTGGTGTCTCTCCCTGGATGCAGCCAAGGCTTCATGCCTCCATGCTTGGTATGCAAGGTGACATATATGACGCTGTGACTGCTGCTGATCTTCAAGAGATGAGGGCTGTGGATCCTTTTAGACAGGCACCTCAATCCGTTATGCAATTCCAGCAAGCCCAAAGTGTCCCCAACAGACCACCTGTATTAATGCAGCCCCAAATGTTGCAGCAGTCTATGCCTCTACCCACCTTTCTTCAAGGTGTTCAGGAGAACCAGTCCCATTCCCAGGATCTTTATCTGTCTCGTCTTCTTCCACAACAATTGCAGCACCAGCATTCATTCACTGATCAACAGCAGCAGCAGCCACCGCTATCACAACAACAGCAACAGCAGCGGCAAATGGTTAATCATCAGCACACTTTAGGTGTTGTCTCTAACCCGTCTCAGTTTGATTCAAGCTCTCAAGCCCAGTCATCCTCATTGCAAGCCATCTCTTCCATGTGCCATCAGCAGAGCCTTTCAAGCTCAAATGGGAACCCTGCTACCGGTCCTATTGTTTCTCCACTACAGTGTCTTTTGGGTTCACTCTCCCAGGATGAAACATCCCACCTGCTCAACATCCGTAGAAACGATGCCCTGTTGTCTTCTGCAGGCTGGCCAGCAAAGCGTGTTGCGATCGATCCTCTTCTTCCCTCTGGACAATCACAATGTATTTTGCCCCAGGTGGAACATTTGGGACCCTCCAATACAGACATCTCTCAGAATACTGTTTCATTGCCGCCATTTCCTGGCAGAGAGTGTTCAATTGATCAAGAAGGGAGCAATGATCCCCAGAGCCATACTTTATTTGGGTTTAATATAGATTCCTCAGCTCTTCTAATGCAGAATGGGATGTCCGGCCTTAGGGGAGTTGGTAGTGATAGTGATTCCACAACCATACCATTTTCTTCTTCGAATTATTTAAGTACTACAGGCACTGATCTTTCTTTTAATCCAGCATCCACACCTTCTAGTTGTATTGATGACTCGGGTTTCCTGCAGTCTCCTGAAAATTTGGATCCAGCAAACCCACCAACTAAAACCTCCTATGTTAAGGTGAGTTGTCACATTTGGTTTATGTATGTGTATTATGCTGATTCAATACTTCGGATGTGCTTTATGGATGTAGATTGCTTGTCCTGTTTCTTTACGAGCATTCCTGGTGATTTGATTTGTAGTTCTCATGTAGTCCTCCCTCTCCCAAACCCCACAATAACTTTTCTTGCTAAGTTAGTTTCCTTGTTTGTTGCTATGTTCGTGATCTGGCCACAGCTTTAATAAGTATCTCTATTTCCTTTCTTAGTTTTTAATATAACTGTTATTTTTACTGACAGGTTTACAAGTCAGGGTCCTTCGGAAGGTCACTTGATATCACCAAATTCAGCAGCTACCATGAGCTGCGCGGTGAGCTTGCTCGCTTGTTTGGCCTTGAAGGCCAGTTGGAGGACCCTGTGAGATCAGGCTGGCAGCTTGTATTCGTTGACCGGGAGAATGATGTTCTTCTCCTCGGTGATGACCCCTGGCAGTGAGTTTCCCATCTTTACTGTTTTTATGATGCACAAATTTGACTAATATTTCCACAGCTTGCAAGTTGTTTGGACTATTAATGAAGAGGAATGAGTTGCATCTAATAAGTTTCAGACCTAAATCTTGGTTATTCAAATGCCATCTCTTCACCTCATATATTTTATGCTTCTTTTTTTGCTTTCTTTCAATGGCAGGGAGTTTGTAAACAGTGTTTGGTGTATCAAGATCCTCTCGCCACAAGAAGTGCAGCAGATGGGCAAACGAGGTCTGGAACTTCTAAACTCTGTCCCAAATCTCCCGATTCAGAATCTCTCAATGGCGGCTGCGATGACTATGCAAGCCAACAGGAGTCATGAAATTTGAGCACTCGGTTCTCTTGATTATTGCAACGGTTGAACCAGTTAAAAAAAATCATCTCTACTGTAATATTATCATTTCTTCCAATTCTTACATGATAGGAAGGATCGTGTAATCCTAGATTAAGCTCATATAAGCTTAATACTGTAATTATGCTATTATGATCTCTCCCTGCTTCTATGCTTTTGGAATATACATCAATGGTATTAATTAGCAGAATATGTTTGTGAAGATGGTTGTTTTCATCCTCTGGCAATCTGTTTATGATTGCAAGGGAATTGATTTTAACTCGAATTTAATCGACATCCAATCTTTTTGGATTTGGAGTTGATATGTAGCAAAATGTTTTTAGGAGTCGGGACATGTGGAAGGGTCTCTCCCTCACACACACATTTTTGTATTCTGTGCTTCTTTTCAATTTAGATTAATTTCCTGTACTGATGTGTTCAAATGTATGCACAGACAAGATGTAGCGGTTTTTCAGTGTTCCCATTGAAAAGGAATGATTTGCATGTAATTGATCATCTCCTGAAGTCTTGTGTTGAATGGTTATATAGTTATATACAATTCACAATTTGTCTTGGATGATCTCTTTTACCGTCAAAGCAACCAGACCCGTCTATATATGTGATTACTTCCCATTTGGTGGAGCTGGGTTTCTGACCTAAAAGTTGAATTGAAAATGAAATGCAATCAATTCCACGCGCACACACAAAAAGGGCCCATGCGATCCTTCGTAGATCTGACATTGTAATGGTACCTCATGTGTCCCTACTTTTCCTGTGTATTATTTGTATGCTTACTGTCCACTTCTTTACACACTTGTGTTCATCATGATATTTTCAAGTCAATATATAGGGACATCAAAGCTGGACTGTTTTTAATTGTGGGACAGGCTTTGTGTATCATGTGTATGGTTACTGTTTCATTTCTTTACACACTCGGATTGTGCCTGTGAAGATATATTTTCAAGTTTATTTGGGAGATCAAAGCTGGACCCTTTTTTGTTTTTTTGTTTTTAATTGTGGGACAGGTTTTGGTATGTATGAAGGCCGACTTAGAGCTTATCTTGTAGTAGTAGTAGTAGTATCTTATTATATTAATGTGTGTTGACAGCTCACTCAAGTTGTGGAAATTAGAAAGGACCTTTTAAGAGGAGGGGATGGAATGGTGACAAGGCAGGCAATTATATATCAACAAAACAATAATGGTCCCCAATTAAAGGGGTAGGGATGGACTACCAACAACCCTATTTCTTTGTGAGGGTTGGGAGGCCTTTGTTTTTCAACAAAGGAGCGCTGTGTTGACCCCCAGCAACCACCAAGGTTTTCATCTTGTTTAAATATTTGTGGCGCGTTTTGCCATGTTGGCTGCTTCGTTTCATGATCGGCTGGAAGTGCAAGCTTATTGGATATCGCGGGCCTGCTTGGTTTGTCATTTAGAAAACAGATCTGAACAATTAAAAAATTATTTTCAGATAATTATAAAAGACAGTTTTCTACACATATGTATTTTTTGAATTTAATTTTTAAAAAACTCTCAGCCGATTAGGTTTTTGTATAGTTTTCTAGATTTTTATAGTTCCTAAAAAGCAAAAACTATTCTTAGAAAACTTCACCAAGCAAGCCCGGGTCGGTGATGGTCTTAGGGGAGATGAACACGATGAGGAAAGAATTGGCTTCAGGTGTCCACGGAAAGAGGACAATAAATCAAAGTTTTTTGTGCAAGTGAAGATGGTAGAGAATGGAACTGTATGGAGATGTAGCAAAGTTGAGTTTTGGAGGTTGGAGGTTGGGTTATGATTTATGATAGATTTGTTTTGTCCAAACACAAGGAAGTCAGAATGGTCGTAGTGCAAAGGCAAGGGGTGTTTGTAGGTTGGGTTTGGTTCTTGGGTTCAGCTAGAATAATGGCCAATCTTGAAATTGAGGCTCACAGCCTGAGGACAAAATCATCTCTTTATTTTTCGGAAAGTAAGGACAAAATCATCATCACCCATTGCAATTTGTATACCCCACCCATTGGAAGGGAAAGTTAAAAAACAAACTATACTTTTGATGCAAAGTGACTTTGTCCTCCAACTCAACCATTTTTACCATTGACCAAATCTAATGTGAAGTATGCTTTTATTAATTTAGCATGTATATATATATATATATATATTTTCTTTTTGGGGTTTTTTTTTTTTTTTTCTTCTGTGACTTTTTTGTGCAATTGAATTGAGTTTTCTCGTAAACCACCAAAAAAAAAAAAAAATTGACAATGACATTATTATCGTTACCAATGGATGCTTTGAATCCGCGGTGATTCTTTGTTAGTGTTATAGGCATCTCAATTATTATTATTACCATAATTATTGTGAAAAATGAACCAAGAGTACTGCTGAAAGGATGTTTGCATCGTGTTGATTTCTTTGATTTTGGAAGCTTCAAAATAAATTATTGATTATTATTATTATTATTTTTTTTATTGACAAGAAATATACTCACGCACCCGCAATATCTGGACTTTCTCCTTTCAAAGATAAGAGAGTACCATTAGGCTACACCTTGCCTTTGGTAAATATTGGTTAATTAATCATGGGGATATATGGAAAGGGAAGGGAAGTGCAGTTTCAGTTTGCAATCTCCTTGTGATGTGATATTGTGGGTGAAGGGAAAGTCCAAATACTTGTAATAACCATAAATATAACTTAAGGCCCTCTTATACTTCCACCTTTTGTTCTGGGGAAAACTGAAAAAAATGGAAATCTCTTCCCTACTCATAATATATTGGACTGAAGCCATGCATGAAAAACAGCAATGGTGGTGTCGACAACATGCATGAACCAGAATACTTGTTGGCTTTATTAAAGGTCTATAAACTGAAATACCAGTTAGTTAGCAACGGAGGAGGAGCAGCATGAAAAATGGCTTGGCTGTGGAAAGCTTTTGACAGCAAAAACGAGCAGCATGAAAAATGGCTTGGCTGTGGAAAGCTTTTGACAGCAAAAACAACCAACGAGTCGTGTAGGAGCTCGAATCGGGTTCAAGCAGAGCTCGAACTCTTTGACTACATGACCTAGTTGAGCTATTAGGTCCCCCTTTTCTAAGTTCTCATTGTCCCAAACTCCATCTTTACCCCTACCAATTATTATGGACGATCATGTCATTGCCATCGCATTAGTATTATTGGAAAAACAGGAAAATTGTGGTATATAGGTCACTGAAAATCCAACCAACCATTTTTCATATTCATTCATGTAACATTTATATCATTTAGGTTTAGGAGAAGAAGTCATAATGTAGACATCAATTGCATGATTCACTTTCTGTAAAAACTTACACTCAAGTTGTTCAGTAAGTACAAGGATGGATTGCATAACTACACTACAAAGATGAACCCAAGGTGGATTACAGAAGATGCTACATCAGCTAAGTGGTTGTATAAGAACGGAACATCCTATCTGCTATGTTTCCTAGTTTTATCTCAACCATCCACAACAGACGAAAGGGGATGTAGGAAGTTGACCTGTTTGACGAATGTATTCAGCCTGAGCTGCGGTTTTTTCAGCATGTCGATTTCTTCTGGCTTCTGCTGCAGTCCGTTTTTCTTCTGATCTTTCCCTTGACATTGCAATCTTCTTCACCATCTTTGCTTGAGCATGTTCTCTCATTTGTTCAACTTGTGCCTAAAAGTTGTAACACGTTTTAATTACAGCTCATAAAATTTGAAAATCTTAATGAATCTTCATTGCACTCTGCAGCTTTTACAAGTTACTGAGTTCTAATCAGGTTCATTTTTGTTCAAAGAATATGAAACAAGCTTTCAAATGTCATGATTTATGTTGCGTTAATATAATACAGATAATGGGAAAAGGAATCTCAAAATACCTCTGCTCTCCTCATCTCTGCTTCAAGTTTTGCTTTCTGCTGACTTTCCCACGCTTGAATTCTAATTTCTTCCCGCTTATATCTGAAATTTTTATCACACTATTGTCAAAATCTTTTTTAAAAAGTGGAATATATAGTTTAAAGCTGAAAATGAAACCTTTGGTCTTTACAAGCATAATTGTTTAGATTAGTACAACACTGTACAAGCATGAGGGTAATAAGCAGAAACCTTGCATTGTGTTTAGATTTCTCAGCATCCTCCCAGGCAGCTGCACGTTCTTCGAATTCGATCCTTTTAAGTTCCTCACTGACTTCGACTGCAGAGGCATTCTTTTCCTTCTCATCTTTACTTGCCCAGGCAGCAATATTCGCCTTCCCAAGTTGGACGCCAAGGGCTACTATCTCTCTCCTTGTCTTGAGCTTTAATTCTTGCTCTGACAATTCCTTTTTGCTATTTTCTGTTGCACGTTGTGATTCGTCATCGGTGGTGTGCTCCATAGGTGTGGGTGCCGGTGCTCCTCTTCGAGGTGTAGATGGGACCGAAGACATTGGGCTGCGGAGTGGGGTTGTTGCCCCCTCAGGTGTAGCAGTCCTTGAAGGCTCTTGACTTGGAATGGGTGTCATCTCCGTTCCCATGTCTCTCATTGAAACTGATCTTATGGCCTTTACAACTGCATGATTAATCATCAAAACCAAGCATGAGAAAAAGAATCCCATCCTGAACAATACACAAAAGAGTCCATTGAAGAAATTATGGTTTATCTACAAGAAAGAAAAAAAAAATGAAGCCTAGAAGAAATTTTCTGGGAGAGGAAGTTATGAAGTTTGTGCACACATGAGAATCAAAACTACTAATATCCTTTGCTGCACAGATTGAATGATATGTCGGCCAATGAACGTAGATGATTTATAGCTTCCATATAAACATCAATATAATCTGTGTTACTCTTTCACACCTACAAGCTTAATTATTTTACTCCCCCAGGACCTTTTTGCCCATTTTTGAAAGTCCACAGCACAACAGTTACAAATGGGGACCAAGAAATCTACTTTGGGGATTGAGAGATCAACACCGAGCGTTTGTGTTTAAAGCCACTAGTTTTGGCCTACTGTGGAAGGCATGCAGATTAATAAACTTCTCAATCCACTCTCCCTGATTGATAAGTTTTACCACAAACTTTTCGTACAAGTATGTGTTCTTTACATTGAATGATCAAGTGAAATTCGTATCATTTAGTTAGATGTCATGCATTTATCAAATATATTTATGCAATGCATCTGAAATGAAATTTTCTGAGGAAAATGCAGCTCTGCCCTGCATATATTAACAGAAAATATTTGAAGAAGTGTCTCTAAATTAATTTTTCCAAGAAAGAGAAAACATAAATATCATCAAAAATCAATCCAAAATGCACAAAGAACTCTTTTTCTATTCTCAACCTATGATCTGTTTTAAGTAGAATTACCTGCTGCATCTGCTGTGGAACTCTTTGTACAAGATAAGTCTCTATCATCCACTTCCTTCAAATCCTTACTTTGAGGACACCAATCAATTGACGCATTCGCCCCATTTGTTTGACTCGCCATGGTGTGTGCACCATGGGATTGACAGAAATCAACCCGCTTAATCGATAACTTTTGATCATAACTAGCACAATCAGGAGCAACCCTCATCATGTTTGTCATAGGCAACCGATTTGCTTGACTTTGTAAATGAGTTTTCTTAGAATAATTAGCTTGCACATTTTGCCTATTCATTATCCATTTCTCTGCATCATTCCACTTTGATGACATAGGTCTCGACAGCGACCTTGCCATTGCATTGTGCAGTGATCTCTCCGCTTTATGAAACTCAAAGCTAGATGAACTAGCATTACTATCATAATCAAGATTTTCGTCTTCCAATGCTCTCACTGGGTGAATTGAACTTGAATTACCCCCATCAGTCTTTAAAAATTGTTGCACTTTAACGCGACCACCATCGCCGTTATCCCTCTGTATAAATTCCCTCGGATGACTAGATTTCCGATCGTCCTGACCGGCATCCGACACAGCACCACCGGACAATTTCACTGATGAAACCTCTAAACTGGAAACTGCAAAGTCAAGGCCATAGGCCCAAAATCAGAAAAGTTCTAATGTTTGAAGCAGAGGATTGAAAATTGAAAAAGTTCATTGCTGAGGCCAATAAGAACAAACAACAAAACTAATCTTTGGTGCTGCAATTGAACACATATGTTCTATTCAAGTGATAAAAATTTTAAAAACCATTTTCAATAAGCACCAACAAATAAACTAGTTTGAATTGATTTGGCGCGCGTGTTCTAATGAAAAACATTATTATTTTTACCTAAATTAATGAAAAACAGTTTGCACGCATGGGTTTTGGGGTTAAACCGAGTTGGAGTGATTTACATACCTTCCTCATCAAATTCTCCATCATTGCAGGCTAACAAGCTGTTCTTGAAAAACTCAGAATCTTCAAGCTTAGAAGGGGATGTTCTTGAAGAATTACTATTTGATCCATCTTTCTTTCTCTGATGGTGAGGACCCATTAGCTTCATCCTCAATTTACTTGGAGAAATTATACCAGTCTGCATTAATCAACAAAATGTTCAAACAATTAAATCCAAATTCAACACCTATAAACACAGAGTCTACCAAGAAAATTTCAAAAAGTTTTCAACTTTACAAAAAATCATTTGAGTAGAAACAAACCCATGAATCTATGAAGCCAATTTGAATAGAAAATCAAATTGGTACATTCATCTTAACTATATATATATGTGTATATATATCTTTGGAAACTCCGAATAAGCTTAATCCTATTGAAGAACTCATTTTTCACTCACATTTAATCATTCAAACACAAACCCATATGAGAAAACAACAGAATAAACAACACTGTTCATGAGAAAAAAATGATCAGAGTGACAACACAGATCAATAGCTCCAATTTTCTTGTGTTGGCTTCAAATGTACAGTAAAATATAGACGACTAGTCCTTTATATATTCATTAGCTTGCACAAAGAAGCAATTACCTGGACTTTGTGAATCCTCTCGTACTCCATTAGATCTTCTCTGTCTTTCTCTCTCTAATCTCTCTCTTCGGGATGGAGAAAAGGCAGGCGAGGCCAAGGCTATTTAGAGGGTCGAGAGTAACAGTCTCTGCTCAGTGTTTAGAAGCCGACAGGAGTTACAAGACTAGATCTTGGGTCGGCGATTTTTCACCGATTTATTGACATTTACTCGCCGATTTTTCAGTTATCTTACTTTCCTATCTAGCATATTTATTTCATTTTGACTGAAATAGAAAAGATTTTTGTAATTTCATTTTCACTAAAATAAATAAGAGGAATGATTTTAATACTAGTATTTATTTCATGTTGACTAAAATGAATAGGAGATGTGACTTGGTTGCCTAGATTTTTTATTTTTTAATTTTGAAAATGAAAATATCTTCGAATTTGGTGACTTTTGGTGCACAAAGAACGGCTTTTGATACACGATTGTGAGGTCAAGTTCGAATACGTGCACTGATTTGTAAATAACATATATAATTATATTTAAATATCAATGATCAGTGACTTATTTGGGTTATGTGAATTAAAATTGGGATATTCGAATTTATGATTTGTCTCATAAAACTCTTTTATTGACTAAGTCACTGCAAATTTAAAAATATTAGGGTTGGGCCTAGCTTGAGTTTGTTCAGGCATCACTATTTGCTTAACTTGAGATCGTGAGTTCGAAAGCTGTTAAGCTTAGGCTCGGTTCAGCATATCATTATTTTGAAAAGTTCAAGTTCAACTCGTTTAATAACAAAAGTCGTTCAAATTTGATTTAAATTCTTGTTCAAGATTGTTTTGACTCGTTCATGAACTTATACGAGAATCTACATAAATTTATTTTTATGAACGTATTAATTAACGTATATATATAAAATTATGTTTACAAATATATACGAGATTACACGAATTCATGTTTACGAATCTAAACGAACTGAATTTAACAATGTTCATAGTCGACTTGTTTATTTAAAAACTAAAAATTGAATTCAGCTCCTTTGCTCAACAAACGAGTTGAATTCAACCTTAAACAAGTCGTTTTGGATTCACGCACATTATTGTAAATGTAATTATTTTATAGGCAAAAGTAAAAATAGGCGCCACAGATATTTTGAACAGTGACAAAGATGATGAAGAAGTTTAAATTATACATGTACATGATGATACACGCTTTAGACTTTAGAAGAGTGACAATGAGGAGTAGTTGTTTGAATTTCCAACAGCAGAGTTGCTGTTAAAAGTAAATGAATCATTATCAATCAATCAGATTTTTTTTTTTTTTTTTTTAACTTTATAGTAAGTAGTAATTATGACAGGCGAAGCAAATTGGTCATTAATAAGTTCCAACCCTCCTCTTGTGCCCTAATAATGATCACAACTCATAACTAGTAATCTTTAATTAACTCACAACTTTATTATTTTTGACCATTTGCTCTTCCTAGTGGTCCCCACCTATACTTATTTGGACCCAGGCCTTCTTTCATAAATGGCTTATGGTACTTAACTTTTACATGGTTATACCTCCTCTCAGTGCTCATATTTATATTTTGGAATATTTTAAAATAATTGAGGGTGATAATTCATTGGTTACCTTCAAATTAAAATAGCTAAAGTTCAAAGTTTTTATTTTTTTTTTAATTTTTATTTTTTTCAGTTGCTTTAAATTTTAACTTGCATAATGAAGTATCTTTTAGCCCAATTGTCAAATTGAAACCAAACTCAATCACAAATCACAAAACTCCATTGTGTCATTTAGATTAAGGCAATATTTAGTTTTCTAATTGCTTTATTACACCACTTGCTTATCACTGTTTATAATGATAATTGATAATTAAGGACATATTAGCATTATATTTTTTATTAGGCAAATGATAATTGATCATTAAGGTTTCATTATAACTTAATGGTCATTATCAAGATTGTATCTCAGTACCTGTTTCTAGATTCTATAAATCTCAACTTTGTAACTTTATGCCAACAAAAAGGTAAATACGGACCATCTGGAATCTGAAAAATATTGCAACTGAGAAATTTCTTTTTCAGTCTGCTCTCATTCATGATTCAACTTTTGTTGTAAGGATCACTCTAATTGGTCAGTCAAACCACTCGAAATCCTTTTATCTTTTACACAGGAACATATTAGATTTTTACAATATATTGAATATAATCTTCTATTACATATCTAGTCAGAATCAAATACATATACTAAAATAAATAAATAAATAAATAAATATATATATATATATATTATGGAGCCTCACCATCTACCTCCCCACATATATGTATTAGCTTTGATTCTAAGTAAAGAAATGGTTTTTTTTTTAGTAATTATTTAGCCTTAAAATGTTGTAGGGGATTTAACCCACTGACCCACGTGACACACCTGGTTTGGGCTCAAGTCTGGTACTACCAATGATACTAAATGCCTCAACAAGCAAAGTTCGCCTAACTCATAAGTGTAGTCAAAAGAATGATGAGTCCACGCGCTTCGACTGCAAGACTCATAATCATATTAATGAATCTGAGCTACCGTCGCCTTTGAAAAGATGTGCATTTAATGTAATGGTACTTGTACTCGAGCCAGAAGACCATAATGCTCCTATTAAAGCCTGTAGGGCCATGACGGCTACACTCGATGGAGTCTTGAAGGATTTTGAGACTCATGTAAAAGTCTGAGACTATAAATATAAGTTAGAGGGCACGAAAGAAAAGACTTTTTGGTTGATGCTCCATTGTATCTTGTATTTAGATATCACCCTTTATCATTTGTAATATTGACACATATTCAAGAACCACCACAAATGTAATATTTATATTGTTATTATTTTTTACTTTATTAAATTTACAAATGAACCCTAACGGATTGACCCTAGTAGTGAATGTAAGAAAATTTCTAACTTAAATAGAATTCATGGCCCTAGGTGCATAACCTTGATAAAAAGACATACCAAATACAGAAACTCAGTTTGGAGGGAATACAGCGGAAACGATCTTCAACCCTCTCCTATGTCTGCAAAACTGGATGATGGACTCTAGGATTTCATCTGTTTATATAGTGAGGATTGGGACCGTTTCGATAGTTACGTGAAGAGATGTGTTGGTTCCATTAACCGACACAACTCTTTATATATACATATGTGACTATTCATTCAAATTAATAGCACGTTTAAGGATTAATGTGGTGTAAGACACCCATATTAAATACATGGATAACTGTATATTAATTAATTATAGTTATACTATTATTTTTGCTTACATTCTCCCACTTAGTCTAACAATAATTAATTCCGACCACTTCAAGATCAAAATGATCATAAGTGTACTCCAGAAGTAAATCCATATATTTATAAGAAACACCTCTATTTTTTTTAATTTAGAGTACCTTCGAATTTACTAATATGGGATCAATGACGTCATTATATCATCAATGATATAAGACACCAATGGTCACTGATACTAACAAACTCAACTCCAACGTCACATATATTTTGCATGTGCATCTATTCAATACAATATGCATGCCATGCATCGGTCCTACCATGTCTCAATAAGACACACCGTGTCTCAAAACTGAACACTTAAGTCACAAATTTTCCATACACATGTGCACTACTTTGAAAAATCTAGTAAATGAAGATAATAACTATGATCACAAAATAAAATTGTCTTTACCTGAGCCAAATACAACCTCCCATTAACTAAGTAAATTAATGTTGTCAAAGAGAAATTTGCATGCTTACTATACAACATTAGCGGCAAACCCTTAGTTATGGGATCAACAATCTTTTGTTGGGTATCAATGTGCTCAATTAGACATTAGCTGGTTATGTATCCTTTATTTCACAATAAGGTATTAATGGTCATATTTTAGACCAACTTGAACTCTTGTGTTTCTTTAATACAAGACTGTAGCGGTATTGACTTGAAGTCCAAAACTGATATTTTATAAAGCATGAAATGTGGCCTTATAACATGCGCAATAAACTCCGCTTCTATCACTTATCATAATAGTAAAACAATACTTGAAGTGGATTTGTATACTGTCCTGACAACCAGCAAAGTCAGTTTTCACCACTCCTAGAAATATATGGTTCTTAATTATTTGCAGATACCTTATAAATTTCTTTGCCGCGTACTATAGATCCAAACCAGGATTATTGTGATATCTATCTAACTTTACGATAGCAAATACTATATTATAGTTAACCATATGTAAAATCTGAGCATACATTAGGTTCCCAAAAGCGTAGAAAATGTCTTTTACCTAATCCTGCTCTAGATATTTTCTTGCTCTTAGATTACCAAATTTCTCAACTTTTACAATGGTTGCGATTCTACCTCTATAGTGTTATATGTCAAATACTTTCAGAACTCCATTAAAGTAGATTATTTAACTGTGACAATCCAAATTTTCACAAGATTTATTTAGGTGAAACTTAATGCCACTAAAAAAAACGTCACCAATACATTCATCTCAAATTTTGAGAAGTTAAATTATTTAATCTCATGTACAATAATGTCATTGTCATCCACATTTAACACTAAAGATGAATTTTACTCCCACTGACTTTGAGAATAACTAAGGCCACACATTTATAGTTTAATTGATGGGAATGTCAACTAAACTTTTCAGAGTTAATTAAATAATGCCTCAAAACAATTAACTCTGAATAGGATCAACATAACATATAATAATCTTTCCTTTGGGCCAAAATTATCATATATCAGTCTCCCACTGGTGAAATAACTTTTACCTTTGAAATTAATTAATCATAGAAAACACAATAATAACTTATACTCCTTTGGGCGTAGTGAGTCATCAGTTATATCTTTTACACTTATTACCTCAATCCGCTTAGTTGGACAAACTCAATGACCCACCTTTGGGCTTAATCATTACTCGTCTTTACTAAATGCCAACACAATCCTTTAACTTTAACGAAATAATAATTTTGTTACAAGCTACAAATATCATTAAAATTTTCATAAGTGTGCCACTTTAATGACTAAACACTCAATTAAACTTAATGACACTTGTGCTTAGAATTACAAAATATGATTCAATTTTCCCGAGTGAATCATGATATATATATATTATGCAACAATTTGTAACAAT